TACAACTCGTAGCATGGCCCTTGCCCGTCCCGTGCTTGATTCAAAAATCGTACGACTCATACAGCAATCGTTATCACTTGACTTAAAATATTTTTGCCCTTCCTTGCCTTTAAAGGAGTGCCCTTTGCCGTGCTGATGTTGCTACATGCCTTACGTCTTGCCTATCTCACACTGCGAATTTTTTCTAAGCTCTATACTAAACATTAAATCTGTTACGAAAAAAGAACTAAACAAAATGAACACAAAACGATCAGCTTTAAAAAAAAAAGGACTCGTAACTGGAAAAACCGAATGAAAAAAGAATGTTAACAACAAATACTTTTTCACGCCCAAACCCAGTTCTGCGGAATCAGAATCAACGTTGAGTTTAAGCAAGCGAATGAGCCAATTGGAGTAAAGTGCCATACAGATTTAAATTTTTCCCACTTGTGACGAATGCAGCTATCGATTTTTTTTTTTTTTGCAAGCTAGCATGCTAGTTAACATTCGTGTCAGTCAGCTGTTGGCTCTCACGCTGGCCAAAAGAATCTTCCTGCCTATTCGTGGCAGCCAGCTATAGGCTCTCACTCTGGTCAGTAGAAAATGACCGCAACGTACATGAAAACTGCCGTAAAGCATGAAAAATCGATTATTTCCACTATCGATGGGAGTCGGAAAATGCAAGGTCGGTTTTGGCCTTCCTGCTAACTTGGAGCATGTGCATGTAAATTTTGGTGCAAATCCGTCTAAAATTGCGGCCGTGCATTCGTTACACACACACACACACACACACATCCTGCCGTTTATATAGAGAGATAATGAACCTTATCCAATATAGGTGAACAATTCAACTAGAAAAAAATGAAAATAAATACATTGTATCTAAATACAAATTAGAGACACGTCATAATAGATCATTCCATCTTAAATAAACAATAATGTTTTAACATCAACTTGAGATTTTTCTTGTTAAAAAATTGAATAATTCTAACACATTCAACATTATGGACAAAAAATAGTGAATTTTATTTAGTGTTTAGCACGAGCAAAACAAATTCACGAATTTGAATGAAAAAATAACATCCCAGAATGACGTCAGATCCTTGAAAATTGTTCATCCTTTAATAGTCAGTTGTGCTTAGTTTAATTTGTAACGTATATAATGTAGGTAGAAAAAAAGGGAATGTTGATAAGATAACGAGGGTCACAAAGCACTGCCTAGGGCCCTCATTCAGGCTTGGGCTCCCCCCGGTTAGTGGGTTCGTGTGTAGATCGCGCTGGCCCTGATAACAAGTATTCATAAAAAAAAATAAAAATAAAAAGTTACAAACTATCTACCAAACTCTTCCAGAAATATTTCTTGGATTCGACACGAACTCTTCCGCAGATGCAGATATCATTTACAAGAGTCACCCCCCCCCGTCCCCAGACTCTGCTCCAACAATTTTAATCTGTTAAAGTCCTTGTTCATGAGTGAGTTTCTTTCTTTTCCGTCTCATATTTATAACTTCGTAATCATGCGCTTTTTTAAAATATGTCCCGTGAGAGAAGGAAAACGTTTTAGAAAGACGTCAGGCGATTGGCTGATTACAACTGCCATGTGATTGGTTGATTACAACTGCCATTTTTCATTTATTTTTCTCTTTTTCTCAACGCTCAGATAATACAATTTCTTACTTTGTAAAGAAAATTCGTTAAAGCCCTTTGTATTGTTTAATTCGCTTATTTTCGTTTCGCTAGGCCACTTTTAGTTATCTAAAGATAAATAAACGAGATGATTGATACCAAACAGTAAGCAAACATTAGTGCAGTAAAAACGGGCATTTTGAAAACAATATAATAATGATATAAAGATAAAAAAGAAAAAATACATAAAGTAGGTAAAACGAAAAGCTTTTTGGTGGCTAAATCTTTAATCTTAATTCTTTTGAGGGTTTGACGGGCCCAACTAACATCAGTTATCTTTATTTTGTTTGTTTTGATATTTTATTTTGTTTTTGAGTTCATCCCCTCCCCGCTCATTGTATATCTTCTACAGATTTTTATAGATAGAATTTTATGTTCATTAAATTTTTATGTTATGGGGTGTTTTTTTCCCCTGAGAGTATGCGGTATTGTGGTATATAGAGGATTGATTGATGATGGATGGACACTTGTGGTGAATGTGCAAATTGTAACGAGAGAATTGGTCGTGAATCTGATTAGCTAGGTATCAGATAGTAAGTGAGGACCAGCGTTGGCCTTTTTCTCTCCATTCTCGGCCTTGTGCCGAAATTGTATTTTATATAATAAAACTTGACCGAGGAATAAATACAGTTTGCACAACTTGCCTTTGATATATAAATATATTGTTAAAAAAATCAATGTATATATTGACAAAAGGTAAACATAGACAATAGAAGATTGTTGCGTGTTACAAAACAATGAATATGAGAGAAGAAAATATTTAAAGACTAAAGAATATGTTGTTTGTGTGTCTGTTGTTAGTAGCAGGGGGATTCCAACAGAAAGGTAATTGAAAGTCGAAGGTGCGTGGGTGCATTCCTCTGTGGAGGACGCTATTCTCCACGTGCGGCCTACATTTTATCGTGTAAGAGGAAAAGAGAAAAGAGAGGATGACAGAGAATATCAATGCCTATTTAAGGGAAACGCACGGACGTAGTTGTAGGAAAATTTGGCAGACGAGATTCGCTTTAATAATGGCTACCAGTCTGGTATATTTGTTTTAAAATTTGTTTTGAGTAGAGTGCAGCGCGTGTGTGACTTAGCTTGACGAAAATTGTTGTGTTGTTAGAGATATATGCTAATAATTGTATAAATTTGGTTTTAATTTGTTATCTCTATGAATAAATTGTGTTTTTCCGCTAGATATACATACAAGCGTAAATCTAAATTTATCCGCACCTTCGCCATTATATATCTTTATATAAGAGTGCAGATAATTTTTGATTTTCCCTCGTACGATAGGCCAGCCACCCTCTGTAAACATAATCGATAATTTATTGCCTGCTTCTTTTTTTTCTCATATTGGTCTAATTGCTCCTAAACTAGGATGCTGAACGAAAGAGCTGGTAGTTTCAAAACTTTTTAAATAACTTTTTGAAATAATTTTTTGCAATCTAGCTGAATATATCAATATTCTTTTTCTTTCCGTCATCTTCGTTTTTTAAATACCCCACATTGTGATGGCAGAAAATTTGACAATCTCGTTTCAAATAAACTTTTATTCATTTTGTCTTACAATTTCCTCAATACGTTTCTTGTTATATAAAAATGTATATCGTTATCTCATATATAGCGTGTGTAAAAGCAAGTGTCCAAATCGTGAAGCAGAAAAAATTGTCCAATTGTTATATTAAGCTTTGAACCCTTGTATCTTAGAAATAATTAAAAAATATCTTACTGTAGATTTTTTATAACACTACTGAACTCTACTTTGAACATTAAGAATGTGTTTAGTTCTAAGATGAAATGATGATCCCTCTTCCTGTTGTGACCTCTTGATCCAGTTTTCATCTCTACTCTCCCCTCTTTTTCAAACTTATTCACCGTTCTCTTGATGGTTCTTGAATGGACTTTGAAGATGGAAGCCAGATTATGAATGTCGGTACCATTACTGAAGGCCTGAATGATCTTTTCCCTCTCGCCATTGCTTACTTTGGAAGACACTGACACAAAACGATTTTTAACCTGTTCTCTTTCTATCTGAATAACTCAGGGTTTTTTTTTCAGTGATTCTTACAACAAATAGTGTCAAGATGGCTAAACGTCTTATCTAAAAACCTGGGAAAAAAAGAAACTCAATTAGTTCAGTGTTTTTTAAAATATTAAACATTTTGAGGGATGTACAATCATCGCATGCTGCTACACGATCTGGACAATTTTGCTATTACACCTGGTACATATATACATATATACACTTAGAATATATATAGTTAGAATCCGCGAATACGTGTAACCAACCTAAAAGTGCTTATAAGTACCTATTTTGATTGTTAAAACTCCATATGCCTTGAACTTTCATCTTAAGCACTTTAGAAACATTTATTGGTGACCATACAATTAGCGTAAATTTTCTTTCGCACGTACAATAGCCGTTTTTAATTACGTATAGATCGATACAGCCATTGAAAATACTGTAAAAATATGTGTAACAAGACCCGAAATATAAAGTTTAAAAGATTTTCTAAAAGTAGAACTGTGATGATGCCCCCAGACTTAACATAAAGCCACTTTTAAGACCACAGTCGCAGCCCCTAACAAAGAACAACGCCCAAACACTACGCATGTTTTTGCATTTATTTTTAATAAAGAAGATGTACAATTCTACCCATTTTTACCATAAAAATGGACTGTTATATGTTTTAAGTCACTTAAATAACAGGAAAATAATACAAAGATATTTTAAATATGTTCTATCGAAAAAATACGCGAATCGAGGGAGTTCTCAGCGAATAATTTGTACATATGTTCTTCAGAAAAACACCAGAATATTCGGGGTTTCTGCAAGTACATATGTTCTAAAGAAAAATCCGCGAATAAGCGGGGTCTCACTATATATATATATATATATATATATATATATATATATATATATATATATCAATTCTCAACCAGATATGTATTTTTTCATCCGACGTTATTTCTTATAATATAACAGTTATATTGAATCGTTACACGCCTTTGAGTAAACCCCTCTATTTTCTTTGATATTTAACAAACTGAGAAGACCTACTAAAAAACGCGCCTGTCTCCTTAAACACCCGTACCTACTAAATATAATGCTTAAATAATCATAAAAGTTATTTTTTAGTAGGTACACGTATTTAAGTGGCTATTAAGAGATAATAATGGCTTAGGAATACAAGTCTTACTAATTAACGCATAACTGGGGCGGAGTGGTGAATTCATACCTTTCCCAAGAGTATTTACGCTTAAGTGAATATAACGAGCCCAATGGGAATTGGAACTCGGATCTCCGATTCTAATCTATTATTCATTACATCAAGCGCATATTCAAGCTTACAACACCAAGTAGTCCCAAACAGTCACCCATCTAGGTACGTACTAGGCTCAACTAGGCTTAACTTCAGCGATCGGGCGAGAACCAATATTTTAACGAGATATGCCCGTAATATTTACTGTAATTCCTGACCATTGACAATCACTTTCTTCCTGATTTTTCAATGTATTTTTATAATAAATTCATTAGCAATGCATTTACATATAATAACTTTAAGTGAATATAGCAGCCTAACATGTGACTTGAACTCTGCTTGCCGATTCCGCGCCCATATCCGTTACACTAATCTCGCATTCCATACTGAAAGTCTACCTGAAAAATGTAATAAAATCAATCAGCTGAAACTTTTTCGACTTTACTCCTAGAGGCCGTAGTCTAACATATAATATCATTATGGAATCAGGCCGACTCTGTGAGCCAACTGAAAATTTGGGTTTTCCAAGTTTTCATTACTGCGATTGTTTTCGGATTCCGCCATCTTGGCTTCTACTGATAAAAACAATTAAAGGGACACAACTCTCTAACTTTTAATAGCTCATCCTCAAATTAAAAAAAAATACTATTCTCAAATTACAGTGTTTCAAAATAAAATTGCCCGTGTTTTCAACTTTACTCCTAGAGGCTGTAGCCCAACATTTCATACCATTTTAGAATCAGATCAACTCCATGAACAAATTACAAACATTCTGGGCCGGATTTTTTTTTTTTTCATACAGGAGGACAGATATCACATAATCGTTCAGTACTCTCTTCTTTGTTTCTGTTGCTTCAATCTCTTCTTCATCTTTGAGGTGGTTGTCCAACACTCGCTTCCATACAGGAGGACAGATATCACGAAATCGTTCAGTACTCTTTTCTTTGTTTCCAACGAAACTTTCCTGTCTCGTAATACTCAGCTCAGCTTTTGGAAGGCGTCTTTGGCCATCCAAAGACGTTTTCGGATCTCAGTGCCTCACTATTCGTTCACAGATATTTAAATTTCTGTACCTGCTTGATTTTAATGTCCCCGACCTGTACTCTGCATTTTGGGCTCATCTTTTTCTCTGATGACCATGCATTCTGTCTTGTAGTTTATGCTTAGTCCTTTCTTTTCGTTTCACTTCGGTACCTTCTTCAGGAGGTTTTGTAGTCTCCTTTCTGTGTCTGCTATCAACACTGTGTCATCTGCGTATCTTATATTGTTAAGATTATAGCTGCCAATGATGAATCTTGGTAGGTATTTCTAGTTCTCTCAAAATCGACTCGCTATACAGGTTGAATAAGTCTGGTGAGTAGGTACCACCTTGTCTTGCACCCCTTTCTATTTTTGTATTTCTGCCGAACTCATTTTTTATCCGTATGCAGTTTGCTGTCAGTAGAGATTTTTGATTATTCTAACGTCTTTCTCAGTGGCAACTATAGTAAATTTAAAATTAGTCGCTGCTTTTTAGTAACAGATTTTCTGATACTCACACTCCACACAAACGTAATACCTGAAGGTGGGTGCGGGCAAGACGGGGTAGTGCCCACACGAAGGCCCAGGAGAAATAAACGACGCCGTTTATACCAACAAACTGTGTAGCTGTTCTGCGTGACAGAGGTTACGAAAGGGTTGACGGCGCCTGTCATGACTGTCCGACCAGACCGACAGTAATAGCCGAAGCTTCCGTAACTTGACACCAGATCCCAACCGGACTCACGAGGTGGACGACGACAGGTGAGGTAAGAGGCGGCGGAAAGACTTTAATCACTGACAAACGCCCGTTAGCGATGCTTTTCTGACAAGACAATGAGATGTTTTAGCTGTCTTGGAGAACGTTCGCTAGAGGTCATGGCAAGGATCTATGTGCTAGATATAGAAAATTGCGAAAGCAAACAGCTTAAAGAAGGAAAGAGCGCCACCTACAACTGAATGACGAAAGAAAAGAAAGGAATATGGGTAATTAAAATCTACCTGGAGAGATACTGACAGATACAACAGACAAATCGTTGGATAGGAAAATAAAAAAAGAATTGATAGACATGAAAATATTGAAAAATCAGGGACATATATATATATATATATATATATATATATATAAAATATTATATATATATATATATATATATATATATATATATATATATATATATATATATATATATATATAACTAAGTAATGTTTCTTCTAAATTACATTAAGTATACTTTAAATTTTCTAATTTCCTAAAATAACTTTTTGTAAAAAGTATAATTGAATTTTACAAGATTTTTAAACGGAGAATTTCACTTTTGTTTATAAAATTTGTCTCTTCAAAAGACATATTAGGATGCCATCTATTGTTTCTCCTCAAAGGCTCTAGTTTGATCTCATCACACCATAAAAAACTTTTGCCAGGATATTTCTCGCTTATTAATATGAGCTTTGGCATAGTTGAAGCGATCATGTTTATGCTATTTCGTAAGCAGTGGCTTCTTCTACCCATTTTGCCATGAAGATCGGCATTGTTCCGATTTCGTCGCACTGTAGATGTATGCACATTGATTCCGACATTGGCCAGTGTGCATTGGAGAACTGCAAAGGTCACAAAAGGATTTGCCTCGGCTTGCCGAACAAGTTGTCTACTTGCTTTTGCTGTTATTTTTCGCGGGCGGCCAATTCTTGATTATGATGACGTCATCCCAAAGGCCTTCCATTTATAAATAATGTGTTGCATGATGGAGAAGTGCACTCCAAATCGTTTTGATAGATTTTTATAGCCTTCTCCATCATTATAGGTTTCAACTATGCAATTTTTTAAAGCTTCAGGAAGTTCTTTTGATCTTTGCATATATATTTTTTTAAATTTAGTCTCTAGCTGCACACTTATGCATGCACAATAAGTTATATTGTTTGACTGCCATATACACAGCTTAACAAAAAAATGAACACATGTCATTTTGATTTTTACATGTGCACAAAAAATTATTTTCACTGACAACCATGTAAAACAAAGCTACAAAGTGTAAATGTAAGAGGTCACTTACTTTTGCACATCTTCATTTTTAATTAATATTCTATTATAATATTAATTAATATTTTATATTAATTAATATTTTATATTAATTAATATTTTTTATTCCTACTATAATATTAATTAATATTTTAATTCCAACCAATTTCAGTTTTATCAAAACTGTTTGAAATTGGTTGGAATTCATTTAATAAAGGTTTTTCTTAACGAATATGTAGTTTAATTAAGATTTGATTATCTGGAAAAAAGAGGCAATTATTTTAAATACTATCTTAAGGGTTCACTTATTTTTACAATGTAGGTACCTTTACAGATTAGCGATACCTAAGGTTTAAACTGAATTTTTTAAAGTGAAAAATCTTTCTTGACGCTTTTATTTTAGTTTTAATTTTAAGCTAATAGGTTAAATTTAATATTTCCAATAAGCAAAATACTTTGCTGTATTTCAAAATTGATTTAAAATAATTGAAAAGTTTTCGTTTTGAAATTGCAGAATTTTTTTTTTAATTTAGTGTCACTTTTAGTCTTCCGTCATTTTAATGTAATTCTATTTATTAAAAATTTTCCAAAAATAAAATATACGTTTCTGAAGCTTTATTTGTGAAATAGTAGCTGATTTAAAGTGAAAATTAATCTGATTTGAAACAAATATAGTTTACTTTAAGTTTAGAATATCGTAGAAATGTAGGTTTTTTTTAAGTGCTAGCCGTTCATTTAAGCGATTGACATGTTTGACAGCTTGATGACTGATGGGCGTTTATCTAATGTTTTTCTACGGAGGCTTTAGTCATAAAAAATAATTGAATATAGCGTGAGCGCCTGTTATACATAATTTTTAAGGATTCAGTAATCTTTAAAATTTAAGGAAATATTCACCGTAATCTAATGTTTATTGAATTTTAGATAGTTCATTTTTAAATTTACGATATTTATCGCTCTAATTTTCTGATAATGTCGTGTATAAACAACCGTACCAACAAAAATTAACACGTTTATACACATTCAAAAACAGTTTAAAATTCTTTTTAAAATATTGGGATGTCTCAGAATGTAATAAGGTTTTGAATTTATGATTAGTAAATATCGTTTAACTTAATAACAATATTCCCTAACCTTTACACGATTGAAACTGAATTTTAAAAGATTTAAAACCGTTTAAATTATTCAGATTAAAAAATAATCTATTTAAAAAAGGAAAAAAACTTGTAAAATTAAATTAGCATAATAAAAATAAAAAAAAAATGAAAAGAATTCTTGTAAAAATTCACTATTCATTGCAAGATTTTTTAAGACAATAGGGTCCTTAATACATCTTATTCATAAAAATAATTATAACTGTTCTAATTAAAAATATGCCTTAGTTTTATTGCGTTTTTTATTTTAAGATTCGGGGCAGATTTTTGATAAGATGGGGTCCGATTTTACAAAAAAGCAAAAACAAAAAATTAAAATGAAAACAAAAAAAAACAAAAAAACACAATGATTTAAATTCTTCAATCAGTTCTGTTTTTAACTAATATAGCCACTAAAAATTATCTTCTTGAATTTCTCAAGTTTTCATAGAATTAAGTGGAGTGGAACGCATGTAAAAAATATTTTTATCAAGATTTTCTAAAAAAATATTTCTAAAATAATTTAATTCATTTGGGATTAAGTCCTGAAAATTTCATTAAAATCCAACAATTATTTAATTTTTTTCAAAAATTTCCAAATCCATTTGTCGTTCACTGTAAAAATGAGGCGAAAATTTGCTATGCTAATTTATAGTCCATCCGCTACGCAAGATTTTTAACGAAAATTCCGAAAGTTCTAAAAAGGATTAAAAAATATAATTTAATTAATCAAAAAATACTTTTTTTTTATCTTAATAATAACATAAAGATTTTGACGATAAAACCTAGTTTTTATCAAGGTCATTGCATTTTTTCATCATACTATGCTTTTGTTTTCATATATATGTTTACCTGGCCGCAAACCGAACCGCAGGGGTTTCAATGAATATCAGATTCGAATTTAAGGTGGCCGTCTCTCTCGGCATTATCTCTACCTCGAGAGTGGAGATTATTACCCGTTGCTTGATGTATTCTCAAAAAGATAAGTTCCGAGGGGGCTCGAGCAATTTTTGCAGGACGACCAA